AATAGTCGCTAACAGTGTGCCTCCACGCTTCAGGTCTTTGCGTCTTGGTATGAGTGCTCTATAGTTAGCTAAACGGATTCTGATAATTTTATTTTAATATAATAGTTGCTAACAGTGTGCCTCCACGCTTCAGGTCTTTGCGTCTTGGTATGAGTGCTCTATAGTTAGCTAAACGGATTCTGATAATTTTATTTTAATATAATAGTCGCTAACAGTGTGCCTCCACGCTTCAGGTCTTTGCGTCTTGGTATGAGTGCTCTATAGTTAGCTAAACGGATTCTGATAATTTTATTTTAATATAATAGTTGCTAACAGTGTGCCTCCACGCTTCAGGTCTTTGCGTCTTGGTATGAGTGCTCTATAGTTAGCTAAACGGATTCTGATAATTTTATTTTAATATAATAGTTGCTAACAGTGTGCCTCCACGCTTCAGGTCTTTGCGTCTTGGTATGAGTGCTCTATAGTTAGCTAAACGGATTCTGATAATTTTATTTTAATATAATAGTTGCTAACAGTGTGCCTCCACGCTTCAGGTCTTTGCGTCTTGGTATGAGTGCTCTATAGTTAGCTAAACGGATTCTGATAATTTTATTTTAATATAATAGTTGCTAACAGTGTGCCTCCACGCTTCAGGTCTTTGCGTCTTGGTATGAGTGCTCTATAGTTAGCTAAACGGATTCTGATAATTTTATTTTAATATAATAGTTGCTAACAGTGTGCCTCCACGCTTCAGGTCTTTGCGTCTTGGTATGAGTGCTCTATAGTTAGCTAAACGGATTCTGATAATTTTATTTTAATATAATAGTTGCTAACAGTGTGCCTCCACGCTTCAGGTCTTTGCGTCTTGGTATGAGTGCTCTATAGTTAGCTAAACGGATTCTGATAATTTTATTTTAATATAATAGTTGCTAACAGTGTGCCTCCACGCTTCAGGTCTTTGCGTCTTGGTATGAGTGCTCTATAGTTAGCTAAACGGATTCTGATAATTTTATTTTAATATAATAGTTGCTAACAGTGTGCCTCCACGCTTCAGGTCTTTGCGTCTTGGTATGAGTGCTCTATAGTTAGCTAAACGGATTCTGATAATTTTATTTTAATATAATAGTTGCTAACAGTGTGCCTCCACGCTTCAGGTCTTTGCGTCTTGGTATGAGTGCTCTATAGTTAGCTAAACGGATTCTGATAATTTTATTTTAATATAATAGTTGCTAACAGTGTGCCTCCACGCTTCAGGTCTTTGCGTCTTGGTATGAGTGCTCTATAGTTAGCTAAACGGATTCTGATAATTTTATTTTAATATAATAGTTGCTAACAGTGTGCCTCCACGCTTCAGGTCTTTGCGTCTTGGTATGAGTGCTCTATAGTTAGCTAAACGGATTCTGATAATTTTATTTTAATATAATAGTTGCTAACAGTGTGCCTCCACGCTTCAGGTCTTTGCGTCTTGGTATGAGTGCTCTATAGTTAGCTAAACGGATTCTGATAATTTTATTTTAATATAATAGTTGCTAACAGTGTGCCTCCACGCTTCAGGTCTTTGCGTCTTGGTATGAGTGCTCTATAGTTAGCTAAACGGATTCTGATAATTTTATTTTAATATAATAGTTGCTAACAGTGTGCCTCCACGCTTCAGGTCTTTGCGTCTTGGTATGAGTGCTCTATAGTTAGCTAAACGGATTCTGATAATTTTATTTTAATATAATAGTTGCTAACAGTGTGCCTCCACGCTTCAGGTCTTTGCGTCTTGGTATAAGTGCTCTATAGTTAGCTAAACGGATTCTGATAATTTTATTTTAATATAATAGTTGCTAACAGTGTGCCTCCACGCTTCAAGTCTTTGCGTCTTGGTATGAGTGCTCTATAGTTAGCTAAACGGATTCTGATAATTTTATTTTAATATAATAGTTGCTAACAGTGTGCCTCCACGCTTCAGGTCTTTGCGTCTTGGTATGAGTGCTCTATAGTTAGCTAAACGGATTCTGATAATTTTATTTTAATATAATAGTTGCTAACAGTGTGCCTCCACGCTTCAGGTCTTTGCGTCTTGGTATGAGTGCTCTATAGTTAGCTAAACGGATTCTGATAATTTTATTTTAATATAATAGTTGCTAACAGTGTGCCTCCACGCTTCAGGTCTTTGCGTCTTGGTATGAGTGCTCTATAGTTAGCTAAACGGATTCTGATAATTTTATTTTAATATAATAGTTGCTAACAGTGTGCCTCCACGCTTCAGGTCTTTGCGTCTTGGTATGAGTGCTCTATAGTTAGCTAAACGGATTCTGATAATTTTATTTTAATATAATAGTTGCTAACAGTGTGCCTCCACGCTTCAGGTCTTTGCGTCTTGGTATGAGTGCTCTATAGTTAGCTAAACGGATTCTGATAATTTTATTTTAATATAATAGTTGCTAACAGTGTGCCTCCACGCTTCAGGTCTTTGCGTCTTGGTATGAGTGCTCTATAGTTAGCTAAACGGATTCTGATAATTTTATTTTAATATAATAGTTGCTAACAGTGTGCCTCCACGCTTCAGGTCTTTGCGTCTTGGTATGAGTGCTCTATAGTTAGCTAAACGGATTCTGATAATTTTATTTTAATATAATAGTTGCTAACAGTGTGCCTCCACGCTTCAGGTCTTTGCGTCTTGGTATGAGTGCTCTATAGTTAGCTAAACGGATTCTGATAATTTTATTTTAATATAATAGTTGCTAACAGTGTGCCTCCACGCTTCAGGTCTTTGCGTCTTGGTATGAGTGCTCTATAGTTAGCTAAACGGATTCTGATAATTTTATTTTAATATAATAGTTGCTAACAGTGTGCCTCCACGCTTCAGGTCTTTGCGTCTTGGTATGAGTGCTCTATAGTTAGCTAAACGGATTCTGATAATTTTATTTTAATATAATAGTTGCTAACAGTGTGCCTCCACGCTTCAGGTCTTAGCATCTTGGTATGAGTGCTCTATAGTTAGCTAAGCGGATTCTGATAATTTTATTTTAATATAATAGTCGCTAACAGTGTGCCTCCACGCTTCAGGTCTTTGCGTCTTGGTATGAGTGCTCTATAGTTAGCTAAGCGGATTCTGATAATTTTATTTTAATATAGTAGTCGCTAACAGTGTGCCTCCACGCTTCAGGTCTTTGCATCTTGGTATGCGTGCTCTATAGTTAGCTAAGCGGATTCTGATATTTATTTTAATATAATAGTCGCTAACAGTGTGCCTCCACGCTTCAGGTCTTTGCATCTTGGTATGCATACTCTATAGTTAGCTAAGCGGATTCTGATAATTTTATTTTAATATAATAGTCGCTAACAGTGTGCCTCCACGCTTCAAGTCTTTGCATCTTGGTATGCGTGCTCTATAGTTAGCTAAGCGGATTCTGATAATTTTATTTTAATATAGTAGTCGCTAACAGTGTGCCTCCACGCTTCCGGTCTTTGCGTCTTGGTATGCGTGCTCTATAGTTAGCTAAGCGGATTCTGATAATTTTATTTTAATATAATAGTCGCTAACAGTGTGCCTCCACGCTTCAGGTCTTTGCGTCTTGGTATGCGTACTCTATAGTTAGCTAAACGGATTCTGATAATTTTATTTTAATATAATAGTCGCTAACAGTGTGCCTCCACGCTTCAAGTCTTTGCATCTTGGTATGCGTGCTCTATAGTTAGCTAAGCGGATTCTGATAATTTTATTTTAATATAGTAGTCGCTAACAGTGTGCCTCCACGCTTCCGGTCTTTGCATCTTGGTATGCGTGCTCTATAGTTAGCTAAGCGGATTCTGATAATTTTATTTTAATATAGTAGTCGCTAACAGTGTGCCTCCACGCTTCCGGTCTTTGCGTCTTGGTATAAGTACGTTGTACTTGTAGTTAGCTAAGCGACACGCGCCGCCGGCGTCGCCTTCACCAAGATTGCTTTCTAACGCCCGCCATTACTCCGCGACGGATGGCTTACGTCGTAATTGTGAAGGGTGCTATTTTAATATTACTTTGAAATCATTATAACGTTTTAAGTTAAATGAGCTTGATTGTGACGTGGCTTTGTGGTTAGAGTATATTTGTGGGGAACATGGTATTTTGTTTTAGAAATGTATTGAGTAATTTTTACATGTGATGGATTCTTCATCATCATCAACCCGTAGAAATTCCACTACTGGACGAATCAACAATCGCAGAACTATATGTCTCGTACCATTGATGTTGCTTCTCGTCGCCAGTCTGGATGTTTTACAAATAAATGGCAATACCGCCACCTATAGGAAACCTTAACATCATTTTGGTACTCCCATAATCATCTCTTACTGCATCCATGGGATGAAATGGGATGATGAATTTTCTTAGACTGCTCCACTGTGTGAGAGTTGATAAGTTAAGACGACATAATGCACTGTGGCGATGCTGTCATCGCGCCACAAATTCAGATGCTCCGAGAATAACTGGTTTCCAGTTAAACTGTTATTTCACGTAGGTATTCTGGTATACATCACCCTTTGTAAAAAGTCACAATAACAAACGTGTCGCACATTTGTCGCACGCTTCCGTCACACCTCTAAGAATTTTACGTGACGTTAACGATATGATTATCCGTCATCTATCAGAGGCCATCCAAATTCCTGGACTAACGAACACAGGACCCACCGACGATAGGTGGCTACTACAGCCCAAGGATACAATAAAATCAAGGATAGAATCATAGATTGCCTCACAGCTGTAATCAGTTTGCTCTATACCGTTCAGACCGGAACACAGTAGTACACATATTAACAGCAGCAATAGGCAATAAGGTGGTACCCATCCACAGAGAAAAATAGGCTACAAAGAGACCTACCATAAACATAACATAAGCACTCATTCCCGTCACCCAGAGAGGTAGACAGAGATGACATAAGGCACAATCCTGATACAACTCTCTCGCTTCCTTTATACCTATATACCATCCATACATGCTACCTACCACTTTGTAAAAAAAGACTTAAATATTTAATAGTAAACGGTAACTCACCAGGAGCCTCTCCATCGTAAGAGAAGTTGGGAATGAGGAGAGTCTGCGCGTCCACAACCACGATAGGCTCAGATGAGACACCGTGCACTCCGCGCAACGCATTCAACTTTGCTGGCTTAGGATAGTCAAAGTTGGCGGGGATGTTGACACTTCCAAAATTCACCTGTGAACATCATCTTTTATTATAGTTTATTCTATGTCTACCGCAAAACATAAACAGTAAATCCTACTGTATTTTTAAAAAAATGTTTCCAAACCCTTTTCATAAAAGTAAAGGTGACAAGCGGCGGTGTAAGAATAGAATAAAATAAAATGGAATAGAAGAGAATGAAATTGAATTAAATATAATGGAATGTAATAGATCCGAATGGAATGTAAAAGCATGGAATAAAACGGAATAGAACGCAACAGAATATAAGGGAACAGAATAGAATATAATATGATATAATTATTTTTGTTTAATTTAGATAACAAGTTATTGTCATTAAAAATATTTTTTTCTTTTACTGCTGATTTGGGAAAACCTCTCTCTTGGAAAGAACCAGCTCTAAATTCTCCACTACTCCATATCGACCCCTGACCGTCGTAAAAGGCGACAGCGGGAAACTGAGCTACGAAACCCACGGGACGATATGGGGTAGTGTATTTTCTTACACCGCCACTACACGGTTAAAGGAGCTTTATATGAAAATTATTTAATTATTTTTAGTATCTTAGTTTATGAAATCAGTTTTTACTTTTATGAAAAAGTTTATTTTTCCAGGATACAGCATTCTGTGTTAACAACTATGACGTGATAGGAATCAGTTTCTTCCAAACAGCAGCACCATTGTGTTCACTGTTGCGTTTAAGCTTTTTTTATAGAATAGGGGACAAACGAGCACGCGGCGCACCTGATAGTAAGTGACTATCGCCGCCCTTGAACAACCGCAACACCGAGGGAATTTCAGATGCGTTCTCGGCCTTTTAGAATAGAGTAAGCTCTTTTGTTGAAGGTCCCCAAATCGTATCGGTCCGAAAAAATCGCCGGTAGTAAAGTATTCCACAGAGAGGTCGTACGAGGAAGAAAACTAATCTGAACAATTCCTCAGAGCACTCCACTTGGTAGATGGAAGGGAGCTTCGTAAGAAATGCTTTGTGCTAAACCCGAACGAAGGCCTTCGCTATGTCCAAGCTTGCGGATCAATGAATCAGGTCGGCCGGAAGATCACTAGCTGATTAACACCACCAAAAACCGTAATGACGGTCATTGATCAGCTGGTGATCCTCAAAGTACAAGTAAGAAGTGTTAGGCTTAGGTAAGAACTTCTAAATAAAAAGTCACGAAATACGAGTTAATTAATAGTTGTAGTAATTTAATAATCCCACGATGTACAACTATCTGAGAATGCAAACAATAAATACAAAAGGACTTTCCTCAGGAAAAATCCTTATACATATATGTTCAAAATTCTGTTTCTATCGTTTACAAATTCCCCAAATATCTAGATAAATGTTGTAGCTTAGACTGGCTGAACTCAAAGCAGGTTTACGTCCGTGACACCGCTCTTATATGTGCACGTACAGCTTTAATGGCTTTATAAATAGTGTATATAATACTACAAATATACGAACAGCTTTATTACGAGTAGTAAAAACGTAGCGTAGAGTAGCTTTCAGCGTAGTATACATTATCGTATACAGCGTCATTTAAATGATTTCTTATGTTTACGCGAACACTGTACATTTGAATGAAACTAGATTTTACAGATTTTATTGTATTGATTATGTTATTTTATATTCCTGAAGTTTCGAGTACGACAATCACCTCAGTGCCTCCATGACCATGGGTGCTGTAAAGTACTCAAAACTTCGGGAATATAAAATAAGTTAATATACGCAATAAAATCCCTTAAAGTCTGAATCTGCTATCGCACACCTAGCTTAAATATTCTTCATATTAACTTTGGCATCGTAATATATTTATGATAACGTACTGTATTTACAAAAAAATAAGAAAACCTTTAATAATAATAAAGATGTTCATACTTTTAATGCTAGGAATAAACTTAAGCTTGTAATTATAGTTACTAGACTCCTTAGAATTAGTAATTCATCTATGGGGCAATGTATATGCTTTTACAACAAAATCTCAGAAAATTTTCAAAGTTAGTCAATCAACAAAGTTATAATTAAAAAAAAATTGTACAAGGGTTATAATTAAATTAAGGAATACATGAATGAAAATATCCTCTGGGAATGAAGTGATCACCGCCATGCTAGTCCTAATAAAATTCATATGAAATTTGAGGTAGTAAGTTATATATGTTTAAAATATAAAACCCTTCTAGGTTTTCTGGTTCTTCCCCGAACAGAGAGGCATTTTCCGAACCAGTGCTAAATAAAAATATGATTGCAATAACTATTATGTAAAATTCTTTATTTAATGAAAAAATTATTCTATCCTATATATTATAAAAATTATTATACTACTATAGAGAGAGAGAAAGAGAAAGAGTACAACAGTAGGCTGTTCATAAAGAATAAGACTTCTTACCGAATATTCATCACACCAGACGGAGAACCAAGTGACATCGCGTAGGGTCTTCCCATCAGGGAGGGAGAGCGTCAGTCCCTCGCCGCGGTACCGCCGCAAGGGTCCCGTGCCTCCGCGCTCGTCTCGTAGTCGGATCGCTCCCGTCGCGGTCACGCTTTTCGATGTTCCCACGTAGAAAAAGGCCGCTAAATAAACAAGTGGTAAAATTAAAATTTTGTACAACTAGCTTCAATATAAATTAAACGAGAACATCGTCCATGTAGTCGAAGTTAATTAAATACGCATTATTTAGGATAACTCAAAAACTACTAGTGAGATCTTGATCAAATTTTTATGGGACCACACGAGAAACACTTTCAAGTAAAAACAGAATCATCAAAATCGGATATTCTAGAAAAAAATTTTAAGGTAACAAACACATAAAAATACAGTCGAATTGAGAAATTCCTCCTTTTTTGAAGTAGATTAAAAAAGTAATTAATTGCTTTTTATTTTACTTAATCTTTATTGAACCTTACACAATGCATAGGAACAAAGGCGGACTTAATGCTAAAAGCATTCACGACTAGTCAAGTCAACCTTAGGACAGTGATACTAGTGGTAACACGACGGTTACAGAAAAAAAGCACAATAGAAATTAATATAAACATTACAACACATTACCGGCACTGAAGCAACGTAAATAACGTAGAGGTTACATTTTAATTAGTTCCGGCGGTGCTTGAAATCGAAGTCTCTCTCCGATCCCGTTATCATACAATTATACATGTGATCGATGATTTTGAATACGAGCAAAAATTATCTGAAAATTACATTAATCATAGACTAGATACTTTTTATTTTGTCTTTATATCATTAACATTTATTTACAGTTTATTGTTTAAACTTGTACATCTGAGACGTCAAAAGACCACTTCTCTCAATTTCTCTGCTGAGTAACTGACATCGTGCAATAGACCAGTAAGCTGAAGTGGCAATGAACCAGCCATGTGGCTTCAAGAACTGATAACTGAGGGAAGATTCACCAATGGTACCGTACTGATAGGAGAAAGGCATGGCGGCCCCCCTTACGTGATGACCTGGTAAGAGATTAATGTCATTTGCATATAGTGCACCTCACACTATCTCACTACGACCTAGGATTACTTAGAGATAATGTCCTAAAGCATTAAGTCAGCCCTTTGTAGGTCTTTTGTTAAAGTATCCATGGCATTAATGGGCTGTTAAAGAAGTAAAGAAAGAATAATTACATAAAAAGAAGAGATCTTAATATGACATTTACATATAAATTCCAAGATTCATATATAAATTCTACAAACTTAATGCCAACATAATAGTCTCGTATTAAGTTGTTGAATATTCGAGATTCTCAAGCTTCATGTTCAGTTAAATTATAATAACGTATATTTGACTACACATTTGAAACTAACATGGCACGGAAAACTCGTTCGAGCAAACACAGAATCATAATTGCAGCCGAGTGTGAGGAAATCCCGAATTTAACTGCAGTGCGCTTTGAACAGATTACGAGAGTTAAATAGTTTATGTAACAGCTACAAAGTAATTACCATTTATATTGTTACAAATACCCGGGACATTTTCACCCTCACACTATTAAAAGAAACAACGAGGCATTAAAACTAACACCTTAAAAATTATACAACATAATCATACCACCATCTATCATAGAGACTGGGTGATAGATTGAGAAATTTTATACCAAGAGAAATATATACATATATACTATATTATAATATATTCGTTTGGACATGTAGAAAGAATTATTGAAGGAAGAGTGGCAAAATAAATTCATGCTGCATAAGTGTGTGACAGAGTCGGCAAGAGACTCTCCAGACATAAGTTTTACGATAAAATTGGTGATATATTGAAAATGGGCTAAATTAAAGATACACTTATCCGTCTAATATGTATACGTAGATATATATATTAACTTAGCGGGAAAAGGTATATCAGAATCATGTCAAATAGAAGTCTGTAGTCTCTGCACACGCCTCTTAGTGAACAACGTAAGAATTTGTGTATAAGAACTTCTTAGAATTTTAAATAGTTGACTTTTTTACCAACACTTAATGACAAGGTGTGAATTATTTCATGCTGGCACCACTCTACGGTAAAGTTTAAAAAAAAATATTTTATTATTTTAGAAAAAAATGATACAAAGGGCTGAATTAATGCCTGAAGACATTCTTTATCAGTCAACCCATGAAGTGGTGAGAATTAGACGTAGGTGTAGCAATTTAAAAAAATAAAAGAAGAAGAAATTGAAGTAAATACACATTATAAGTAACAAAATATAATACGATATAATATTTATTTAAGTAGATACATAAATATTACTATAATTACATAATATATTAAAACATATTCTTATAACCATTTTTATACATCGAAGATAGTTTTAGATCTCTTACCTGGTCCCTCGCCATCGTAGTGAAAGTCGTGAAGGTACAGTGTGCGTGAGTCCACAGCGTATACGGTACCCCGCACGCCATGATGGAGTTGCGAAAGAGGTCCAATTTCCTTGCCCAAATAGCGTCCCGATGCAGCGCCTGTGATCAAAAAAAAAACATTGACTATTTTATGAAAAATATATTTAACCTCTAATACTTTTGTTAATTTATAAAATTATATAGCTGTAGGTAGTCGCACGAAGGAGTCGGCTCGACCGGGGTAGGCCCACGCTCTCACAAAATACCAGCGTGAAATATCAGATTAATGGTGCTATTCTTGTGATTTGATTATTGATTCTTTATGGGGTATAGATGTAGATGTCTGTGGGCCACCGCATCCACTTACCACCAGGTGGACTCTGTGCTTGATTGTCACCTCTATCCTATAAAAAATATATGATGCAAATATTTTGTCAATTACGAAAATAGGTATATTCCAATTTCTATTAATTGTTTACCAGACATATATTTGTTAGCAACATATGATTAAACGCTATCTTAATCATCGTTTGTTGTTAAAACTGGCCAGTCGTGAATATTGTCAAGGTTTTTGAGACGAGTTTTTTTCGCGCCTTTTTTTCATTATAATTATGTATTAACCCCAACTACTTTTTCTCAGTAAACTGATAAGTTAAATTAATTAAATAATTCATTCATTAATTAGTAAATTGTTAACTTATATTTAAAGAGAAGTTAGAGTAGGTAACAACAAAACAAGCAGTTCTACTACAGTGAGTATTTTTGATCATATCGGAAGTACCTAGGTTCTGACTCACAGACCTTCATCAATCAATCGATTCAAACAAGGGTGATAACTGATAATGCTAATAGAGGTATGCCAATACCTATTCCTTTCAAACGACTTCTAAAAAGAAGGAGGTACTCAATTCGACCGTAATTTTTATGTGTGTTACCTCAGAACTTTTTTCTAGGTGCACCGATTTTGATGATTCGTTTTTTATTTGAAAGCTTGTTCTTTTAATGTAAAAAAGTAAAGTTACAGCCTATATACGTCCCACTGCTGGACACAGGCCTCCGCTCATTTCTGAGAGGGTTTTAGGGCGAGGAATTGTCCGCCGCTCTGGCCCAATGCGTGTTGGCAACTTCACATGTCTTCGAAATATTTTTTCTTATTGCTCGGACATGCAGGTTTCCTCACGATGTTTTCCTTCACCGCCGAGCACGTGGTAAATCAGCCGATTGATACCGGGTTACTAGCGATCTGTTATATTTACAGCGACTGTTAACCATCTGAGCTACCACGGCTCTCTTTCTTTCGGTTCTTTTAATGTGGAATATATATATATAATAAATTTTACAAGATCTGACCAGAAGTTTTTGAGTTATCCTTAGTGTTTATTTAATTGACTCCGACTACATTGATGATGTTTTCATTTTATTTATATAGAAGTCGGTTGCACAAAATATTTAATTTTACCACTTGTTATAGTTTTCTATAAACGTCAACTATTCTGAAAAAACAACTTGTCTAATTGCGACATCTGTAGTTATTACGTATCATATTACATAATTGGATTTGAGCCAATATTTGATACAATAATCTAGAGGTCAACACGCTCGTAGACTGTTCATAATATATCTTTTCATCAGTGAATAAAAATAAAATTTGTTCGATACCTGTCGTTAAAAGTTATAAGCCTGTAATGTTTCATGTTATTGTAGCGCGGACGCGTCTGGAAGTGGCACAAGGTGAGCACCGGACATTTGCGTCGGCTTCCAAATGCCATAGCAGACCGGTGCGGTGTGCCGCTACTTGATAACGAACAAATAGACCATGTATGTTATACATATTATATATTGGCTTATCACCCCGGCTCCAGTCGCGTTAAATAAAAACCAACGTATGCACCACGGATAACAGTAATTTGGGAAAGACTAAAAATTATTACAAAAATATAGCTTTTATTCTATACAGTAGTTTTTACGTGACTGAGCCACTAACATACAAATATCCAAGTATCTTTCACATGTATGATCTTTTCCAAAAAAAAATTTCTTTATTGATTTTTTTAAAGCTGTGACCCATAGACATTTATTTATTTATTTAATTTCATGTAAACTTTAATATATATAGGCGGACTTAATGCCCGAGGCATTATTTACCAGTCTACCTTAGAGTATTGCGGAGATGAAAGAGCCTACCTCGGTAATATATAACAAATATTTCAATATAGGTACATAACTGAAATATATAACTGAATACATATACCTAAACATAATGTACATCTGCACCCGTTACATAGATTTAAACCAGAGGCCCTCGGCGTCGTAACTCATTACAAAGCCGCTGCACCATGGAGAAGTTTATTAAATAAACCATACAACAAAAAGTTAAAAACGCATTATAGCAACATTTTTTTTACTTTAAATAGTCTTAAGTTTGAAAATATTTTAAGCTGGATAGTGTAGTAGAATATTCTAAGTCAGCAAGTATAATACTTTAAAAATGTTGGAAGTTAAAAGCAGTAGTTTCCTAGCTACGTTATAAAAGGGTACAAGCTATATAGTGGCCTTTTGTTTTATTGTACTTATAACTCTGTAATATATGTAGATTATTAGTGGTCCACCTGGATTTCTGGACCTCGACAACAGCATCATCTGCTGGGTTCAATTATGAATTTAAACAAATCTCTCACAAAAAAATTCATTGTAATGGGTTCAGTGATAAACACACGCTTAGAATAATCTTAATATATATATATAAATTACGTGTCACGTTGTTTATCCGCGATGGACTCCTAAACTACTTAACCGATTTTAGTCAAATTTGCACAACGTGTGCAATTAGGTCTAACTTGAGAGATAGGACAGTTTTTATGCCCATGAGTGACTTACAATTTTTTTTGCGAATTTAAGGATTTTTAATGGGACATGACAAAGCGTCATTGAAAAGGGCAGAACAACGTCTGCCTGGTAAGCTAGTTTATATATATATATATATATATATATATATATATATATATATATATATATATAAAGATATACAGAGAAATAGCCATGGCAGAAAAGTCCCAAGTTGGTCAGAGACTTATAAGTCCCTTGTTTATGTTGGAGGAGGAAGAAAAGAATTTGCCAACTGTATTACTTGCCTAGCTTGTTATAAAGGCGTCTAATAGAATACTGGGTTTATGATTGATAAAACTCCTCACGTGTTTCGCAATTTTCCATCCCAACCCCAACTATCCCAGGGTCCCAATTCAGACCCATATTTTCTGACCAAACGTGGTCCCAGTAGCTCGCTGCTCTTTGTATTGAGGGGGTACACACTCTTGGGGATATCAGATCTTTTTTATAGGATAAGGGTGAATAACAAGCACACATTCCACCTGATGGTAAGTAGATACTGTGGTTCATAGACATCCACATCTACCCTCGACTACGAATCAAAATGCAGATGCGTTGTCACCCGTAAGGACCGAGATGGAATGCCTCTATTCCAGTAAAATAGGTCTCCGGTTCTTTACACTCACTATACGAAACACAGCAACGTTAAGCTGCTATTTTATGCTGGTATCCTGTAAAAGGGTGGTCCTTCCTCGGTCGAGCAGACCTCTTCGTAACACAACTACACTACTAATATAGCTGCAGAATGGCTCTACCACTTACTATCGAGGTGGACTCAAACTTAGTCCACTTCATGGTAATGAGACACTGTGGCTATAGGCATAGACATTTGTCAATTGAGAATCAAAATGCGGGTGTGTCACCCCTGAGGAAGATGGAATGCCTCATTTCTTTTTTTTTAAACTCCGGTTCTCTACAAGTACTATACGAAATACAGTAGAATTATCATCACATCATCAGAATATGTCATAGAATTTGATTCATTAACCTTCGGGTCTACGTGTTACGTGTTCATCATCTTGCAGGTTACCACAACTTACGTAGATATTTGTATTTAGTGAAGTGACTTAAAAAAAGAGGAAGCAGATATAGTAGCTAATGTATATACAGTTACATGAAAACCGGATTCGTTACAGCTACAGTTTGTGAGATTTAAAGTTTATGTTTATATTATATAAATATTATGACAACAATAAAACTCTTATGACATATTTGAGAATTTAACAGATTAACTATTTAAAACTACCCAACGGATTATGCATTATGTCCATTTCTACGGTTTTTGGCATATAGTTGTATAATGACAATATTTTCGTATGTGAGTTCTGAAACAGTAGTAGATGTGAATAATACAATCGACTTTTTGATGTTAATTGCTTACGCCGTATAATTAAAGATTTATTTACATTTTTAGGTTATTCATGTTAATGTACGAAGATAATGATGTTTTGGTCATTGATTTTTGCCATGATGTTAACGTGGAGAGAAGCAATCGATGAGATGAGTGACGTTCTGTTACGACAGTGCATTAACAACTTTCATATATTGGCACAAAGGAAAGTGGACCGCGGAGCGATACGTTTAGCGTCCGTATGTCCGCATGTAGGCAGTTCCGTACGAATTAGGGTAGGCGCACACTGCACTGTGTCATCGTAATAAATCTTTTTTATTTATGGAATTTATGTTTAAATATTGTAAAGTCGTTTTATTTATCAACGTGTGATAACAGTTATAAAAAAGTTCTGTTATCTAAAAATAATATTCTTAAGTAATTTTAAATAATTTAAAAACGTCTTTTTTATAGAATAAAAAAAAGAAAAATAAAAAGAAAGAATAAAGGTGACAAACGAGCACACAATCCACCTGATGATAGACATCTACATTTATTTTCAATTAGGAATCAACGCGCAGATGCGTTGTCACTTGTGGAGTAAAATGGAATGCCTTGATTCCAGTGAAAAAAGGATCTCCGGATCTCTATATTCACCATACGAAACATAGCAGTATTCAGCTGCTATTTTACGCTGGTATTCTGTGAAAGCATGGTCCTTTCCCTGTTGAGCCGACCCATGCGTACTACAACCATAATATAGCTGCAGCGTGTTTACTGAACAATATCACAAGCTAGAGGCAAGAGCCTAGACTTGATGGCGTTTTTGTTAATATTTTAATGGTACCACCCTTGTAGCCTAATTCAATAAATAAAGAATTGTTTATATTGATTCATATTACTT